AGATCTCATGAGGATAGAAAGTAGATTGGTGATTACCAGAGGCTGGGAAAGGTAGCAGGGTAGAGACGATGAAGGAGGGAAAAAAGGAATACAAATGTGTTTATTACAATACATGAATAAAACATTTAAAAATACAGAGTTGTATAATTAAAAAAAATTTTTTTTTAATGTTTGAAAAGCATTCTTTCTGTATTTCTTTCTTTTTTTTGAGACAAAGAGTCTCGCTCTGTCGCCAGGCTGGAGTGCAGTGGGGCGATCTCAGCTAACTGCAACCTCTGCCTCCCAGGTTCAAACGATTCTCCTGACTCAGCCTCCCAAGTAGCTGGGATTACAGGCATGTGCCACCACACCCGGCTTATTTTTGTATTTTTAGTAGAGATGGGGTTTCACCATGTTGGCCAGGATGGTCTCGACCTCTTGACCTCGTGATCAAACTACTGGGATTATAGGCCTCCAAACTGCTGGGATTACAGGCGTGAGCCACTGCGCCCAGCCTCCTCCTATATTTCTTACAAAGATCTTTGGAATGTTCAATCTACCAAGTGATTCCATACCTCCCCAAACAGGTCCTTCACGGCCGAAATAAGCAGCTGTTTGAACTGTGCAGCATTCAGTCCAACTCCACAATCTTGAAATTCTCTTAAAAAACATGAAAAAAAAAAGACATCATATTAAATTTCATTCTGTTCAGATTGATGTTAGAAAAGTAATCTAAAATAGAACTTAGGAAACTAAACTTACAGGCAGACTTTCATGTAGTGGTACTCGGAAGGGTTTTTGTAAACTACTCTTTCATATGTGGCAGCAGGGGCAGGCATCTTCTCCAGTGCTGATCACACCTACAGTAAGTCAAGAGGGCTAGAAATGACCAATGCACATGCTATTTTTCACAGTTTTGATGAGAATTTGGCCTATTTGGGTTATTTTTGTTTGTTTGAAGGCAGGGTCTCACCCTGTCATCTAGGCTGAAGTGCAGTGGTGCAATCACAGTTCATTGTTTTTTTTTTTCTTTTTTTTTCTTTTTTTTTGAGATGGAGTCTGGCTCTGTCGCCCAGGCTGGAGTACAGTGGCCGGATCTCAGCTCACTGCAAGCTCCGCCTCCCGGGTTTACGCCATTCTCCTGCCTCAGCCTCCCGAGTAGCTGCTGTCTCTTATACACATCTAGATGTGTATAAGAGACAGGTGCTGGGATTACAGGCTTGAGCCACCGCGCCCAGCCTACTTCTGCAATTTCAAACACAGTTTTAAAATAATCTCTAGGGGAATACAAAAATTAGCTGGGCATAGTGGCAGGTGCCTGTAGTCCCAGCTACTCGGGACGTTGAGGCAGGAGAATCGCTTGAATCCGGGCGGGCGGAGGTTGTGCCACTGCGCTCCAGCCTGGGCGACAAAGCAAGACTCCGTCTCAAAAAAATAAATAAATAAAGTAATCTCTAGGGGAACCCTCATACACTACTGGGAGGAATGTAACTGTACAACCACTATGGAGAACAGCATGGAGGTTTCCCAAAAAACTAAAAATAGGTCAGGTGCAGTGGCTCATGTTTATAATCCCAGAACTTTGGGAGGCCAAGGCAAGAGGACTGCTTGAGTCCAGGAGCCTGGGCAACATAGTGAGACTTTGTCTCTACAAGTAAAAAAATTGGCTTGGTGGTACATATACCTGTGGTCCCAGCTACTAGGGATTCTAGGGTGGGAGAATCACTTGAGCTTGGGCAGTTGAGGCTGTAGTGAGCCATAAGCATGCCAGTGCACTCCACCCTGGGCATCACAACAAGACTTCATCTCAAAAACAAAAACAAAAAACAAAATAGAATTCTAAAAATAGAATACCATTTAATCCAGCAAGTCTACTACTAAGCAGCAATCCAAGGGAAAGGAAATCAATTCAAAAAGACTGGGTGTAGCTGGGTGTAGTGGCTCATGTTGTAATCCCAGCACTTTGGGAGGCCAAGGCGGGAGAAAAAAAAAAAAAGACATATGCACTCTCACATTTATTGCAGTACTATTCCCAATAGCCAAAATATAGAACTTAAGCGTCCATCAATGGATAAAAAAAAAAGTGGTATGTATTACAATGGAATATTACTCAGCCATAAAAAAAAAAAAAGAAATCCTGTCATTTGTAGCACCACGAATAGAACTGGAGGCTATTTTGTTAAGTGAAGTAAGCCAGGCACAGAAAGACAACTGTTGCATGTTCTCACTCGTACGTGAGAGCTAAAAAGGCAGATCTTGCCAGGTGCAGTGGCTCACGCCTGTAATCCCAGCACTTTGGGAGCCTGAGGCGGGTGGATCACCTGAGGTCAGGAGTTCGAGACCCGCCTGGCCAACACGGCGAAACCCTGTCTCTAGAAAAAATATAAAAATTAGCTGGGCATGGTAGCGTATGCCTGTAATCTCAGCTACTGGGGGGAGGCTAAGGCAGGAAGATCCCTTGAACCTGGGAGGCAGAGGCTGCAGTGAGCCGAGAATGTGCCACTGCACTCCAGCCTGGGCAACAGAGCAAGACTCCATCTCAAAAAAAAAAAAAAAGGTAGATCTCATGAGGATAGAAAGTAGATTGGTGATTACCAGAGGCTGGGAAAG